AGACAAATTCAAAGATTTTAAGCCTATCAAAGATCTCCGCTGAATGGGCAAATTTGGCAAATAAAAAGAGATGTGCGCCAAAGAAGATATTTTGGCCAGAAGAGCAAGTGCCTGACAGCAACTATTCCACGACTCATAATGGCAGCAGTGCCACAGAGTTTTCTTAGACTTAAAATGAAGCAAAGATTGTTTGACATTTTCTGGCCAAGAGGAAAACGTTTTACGGCAAAGTTTTACGCTTCCATATTAGCCGCAAAACTGCTGGAACGGCCCCAGGCCCCTGCCCTCCCCCGAAAACACTTTAAAACTTTTATGATGTCTCATCTTGTCTCGTCTGATCTTCTACTTGAGAGAGAGGTCTAATTCGGTTTGCTTGTTTATCACCTTAATTAAGGCCTGGCAAAATGGCAACGGCAATGGCAGTGGCAACGGCAACGGCAACAGCAACGGCAACAGCAACAGCAACGACAAATGGCTAATAAGAAAAATGAATTTTATTGTGAGGCAAAGCAACATGCAACAAATGAAGGCACTCCAACAATAGAAACTCCACTCAACGTTAGCGCCTCTCCATATGCGCCATGCTCCATGCTCCATGCTCCATGCTCCACTCCGCACTCCACTCCACGCCATTCCACTCAACTCAACTCCAAGTCGGCTCCTCCTCTTCCGGTTAACTCTTTCAGCCGGCGATGGTCGCCACGGGATTTGGATTTTACCCATGTGAAACGTGTTAATATGCGAGGCAGCACACGTTCCATGGGTTGAGGGTTGAGGGTTGGGTTCACTGCCGTGGTGAGGGTGTGCGTGTGGGAGAGGTTAAAGAATGCCTGGCGAAGGACTAAATCAGCGTCTCAAGTGGTTTCCTCTAGCCCTTCCTGGCGCTTAGCTACTCGTACATGTACGAGTAGAGGAAGAGGAAAAGGCAGGAGCAGGAGCAGCGTCTCATATGAGACTCTGTGTACGTTTGCGTCTTGGTGTTTGTTTGAAATTTTATCAAGCATCGCAAGTAATGGGTAGAATTTTTAATTATTCACCCTCCCCGCCCCGACCCAACCCAGCCACACACACACACGGCTGCATACTTTAGGGCGCTGGGCCAGAAGTCGGGCCTCGGAACTCGCAACTCGCAACTCGGGACTGGGCTAATTTGTTATGCGAAACATCTTCAGCAGGGAAATAATTAAAAAGTTTTTTTTTTTCTTTTGCAATGGGTGGAAGTCCCTTTAGTACTGCTCCCCGCTACCCACTCCCCACGCCATATCCCTGGCACCCACTCTGCGAGATGCTGTGCCACTGCCTCTAGTCTGTTATCGATCTCTTATTTATCTGCTGCTTAATCTCGTTTGTGCCGGCTACGGTTACGGCTACCTTTTTGCGGTTACCGCTTCCTCTCCATTTGCTATCTACTCATTTGTTACGCTTCGCGTGCTGTACCCACCCACACACCCACCCACACACACACCCACCGCTCTCATCTTTTACTTGACTGTATTTTTATGGCCATCGTAGGATAGGTGAGAGAGCCCCCCACCACCTATCGACTACGCGACTAGTCGTCGTCTGCCTGCTCTAGCTCCGCTCCGCTACGACTACGACTACGGTTCTACGGTTCTACGTTCTGGTTGGACTACGATATTTTCCTGCCTTCCTGCCTGCCGCCTTACCGTGGCACCACTCGGTTTGCAGCTTAATTGGATGCCACAATGTGAAATAAATTGAGCAGAAAATTACGTTGCCCGCCAAATCTAAACCACACTCTAGATATGTATGCTCGCACACAGGATTGCACATGGATTGGGCCCTAAGTTTTAAGCTTTGGCCATTGTCCCCTCCGGTGTCGTTAAAGCGTTGAAACAACGGCGGGAAACCTTGATTGGCCGCAGCAAAAGGGGCGAGAGGTATAGGAGACGGCGAGTTGGTTAAGCCATTGCGAAAACTCTCAAGGATGAAGAGCTGAATATTTATTTTGCTGTTCAGCTCCAAAACAAGTTTTCCTCTTTTTTCCATGCCCAACTGCAACCGTTTTAATTGAAACACACATTAAATGCTGTATATCTTTGGGGATCTATTTTATTGATATTGCAGATATTTTACTATGAATTTAAGGTGCGCAAAGGACTGTGTTTCCGGGCGGCTTTTGTATAATTTACTGTTCATTTGGGGTGCTCCAAGGAGTTTGGCTTCTTGCTCAAGTCTAAGCCGATCTGGCAGCTCTTGTGCCGTAGGCAGGAGACGCGAGTACGCGCCCAACCCATTTGAAAGCCGAGTTGAACGATTTCAAGAGAGAGCGCGACTTCGCATTGACGCAATTTGGTTTCATGCCCATCGAAACGGTTTTTGGGCAGAGCTTCGTCGACGAGTCAAAGTCACATTCCGAATCCGAAGTGGCGCAATCAGCGAACTCGTTCGGCAGCGATATTTCCGATGATAGCTGGCACGAGTTCCACAGCGAGCCCGTCAACGAGGGGCAGCAGCGGGACGCCGTACTGCCAAAAGACGTTTGAGAGGCCTCTGCGGCGGAGCTCCGGACACGATCGTAATCAGCAATAATCGTTGTTGAAACCGAATTGCCAAGGTACACGGTTACATTTTCGATGGGCGATGAACGCTTCGAGGTGCCGGGCTGCGAGTGATGGTAACAATTCACAGACACACTGTCTGTGCCCCTCAAGTAATGTACAGACATGGCGCGAGCTGGTAACCGGAAAATTTGAAAGCCAAAGACAACAATTTTGTACACACGTATTTTTTGAGTGACAAGAAATTCCAATTCGAGTTCAGTCAATTTTAATCGAGTTGGATATACATACATAAATCTAAACATACGTATGTAAGTATATGTGAAACCAGAAAATTGCATTTCGATTAATTTCGGAATTTACGCGGGGGGCCACAAGTCGGTCGGCAGCTTTGGCCTCTCCTCTGCACTGTCTCCACTGATTTGGCACATCTAGCTGGCTGCTCTAAAACCAATGAAGCTGCGTGCCATGCAACTACTGCAGCTGACTGCCATGACTGCATTCCTTTTCCTGCCCAAACCAAAAAAAAAAAAACGATAGAGCCATTTTTTTTTTGTTATTAATTTTTCATAATTTTATTTAATATAATTGTTGAATTTAATTTTCATAGAAATCTTTACGGATTTGCTCTCTCGGTTTCAATTTCCTTCATTTCTCAAATAAAATTTGTAATTACATTTATTTATTTTTTATTACAAAGAAATAATTTCTTTTTCGTTTAAGTTTTTTTTTTGTTTTTTTTGTTTTGGGTTTTTTCTGCACAAAATTCTGTTTTATTTTTATTTTTATTATGTTTTATGTATGTTTATTATATGCGAGATCGTTTGCATGTGCCGTTTGCTACATTATACACACATATATTTAATTATATTTTCTGTATTTTCTATCGAATTTTGTGGATTTTTGTGGATTTTTGTGTGGATTCTGTGTCGTTCCGTTGGTATACATCAATTAAATATTTACTTCGATTTTGTTAGTTAATACATATGTTTGTATGTATGTATGTGTGTGTGTGTGTATACATATATATATATATTTTAAAGAATGTGCTATTTTTGGACATCTCTAACCGATTCGCTTAACACTAATTGCCATTGCATAGTATCGTATAATATTCATATCTTCTGAAAGATTTCTTTATGGAATTTCCACTTAGGAGCTAGCAAAAAAAAAACCGAATTACAATTAAAGTTCTCAAGTGTCGTAGATTGTTGTTGTTGTTGTTGGGTTTTTCTGCTGTGTGTGTGTGTGTGTGTGTGTGTTTTGTGGTTTGCTAATTAGTATACAGATATCGTGATACATATAGATATAGCACATACTCGTATTCGTATTCATATTCGTATATATATGCATACTCGTATATAGGAGATTATATTTATAGTTAAGCTTAGATTGCACATGTTTATACACATTTAAAATACACGCATATCGAAGCACATGAAATGAACAGTAAACAAATTCACGAACATTGGATTACGGCTTAGGAACTCAGACATACATCGGCTCTACAATCCCATCCCCGACTGACCCCCGCCAAAAACGAAGCCCATAGATACCCATTCTACTCATTCTACCCACTCCACCCACTCTACCCATGCCAAACCCCAACCCAACCCATTCCATTCCATTCCATCTTTTCCTACCCCCCACCCCAGCCATCATTCATATTTTACAGAAACGAGGACAAAATAGTAACACAACAAAGGGCTGGCTTTACAATGTTTTTTGTTTTTTTTTATTTTTTTTTTTACCACTAATTGTTAAAGTTGCTAAGTATTTTTCTGGTATTATTTTGTATGCTTTTTTGGTATTCTCTCGTATTTAGTTTTTGGTATATTTCTTTGCTTATCTTTTCTATGACTAAATTTATGGCTCGGGCATACCACGGGCCTGACTAAAAAAAATACACAAAAAAAATACAACAACACACATTACAGACCCAAAATGCTGCTTAAGATATTTACGATATATCTCTTAGTTTTCATTTCGGTTTGCGTTTCGTAGATTAAAAATTGTAGAGGAAAATGTTACGGCTGGAGGCGAACTCCATTGGCGAATCCGCAACATTTTCCCCCAGCTCTTGCACTCTCCTCCTGCTCGTCTCCCTCCCAATTTGCTAAGTGGTTCTTGCTTAGTTTTTCGTTTTTGCATTTTCTTTGGTTTTATTTAACTATAATACGAGTTTTCTAGAGATCTATGGAGAACTCCAACAAATTCTACTAAAAGTTGATCATTTTTTTTTTTTCATTATAAATATTTATATGATTTTAGGTGTGTATGTGTTGGGTGTGTGTGTGTGAGTGTTTTTGTTAAAAAAAAAACATTATGTACAGCAAGATTCCATCGTGTTCCACACATATGTACTCGTATGTACAATCAGAAGCCACCGAGGCAGCCATTACCCAGACCCACGCCCATGCCCACGCCCAGACCCACGCCCAGACCATGACCAAGACCCTCCCCATACCCATACCCATACCCGTATCCGTACCCATACCCCTGCTCCTCGTGCTGCGTCTCCGCTGCGCGCCCCTCGCACTATAGAACCGCAGAGCCGCACCACAGAACCTGACCTCAATATGGCCTCCACACGCTGCCCCCATTATCAGTGGGATTGTGGTGGCCGCGATGGGCAGCTAAGGCGGCCACCTGACGATTGCTGTTACCGTCCTCGATATTCCTCACCGACGCCCCACAATTACCGATCAGCGTGAGGTCGCCCGGATGGGTCACACCGCCGCCGGCCATGATATTGTGCTGCTGCCGCACGCCCACATTGCTGATGTGATCCATCACGCTCTGCAGCTCGCCATGCACCGAGGAGTTGGGCGAGGCGTGGGCCGGCAGCGTGTGCGAGTGGAAGCCGTGGGCCGACTGATTGGCCGCCGTGTACAGCTGCGAGTAGAGGAGGCTGGCGGGCAGGACCGGGTACAGCGATCCATTGCATCCGGCCGCTGCTGCCGCGGCGCTGCCATGGCCACCACCCACGCCAGCACCGCCGCCATAGGCGGAGGCCGAGACATGTTGCGCTTGGTTCACGATGCCCGGGAAATTCTGATTGGCGCCGAGCATGGCGCCTGGATTGCCCACGCCCACAGCTGCGGCGGCACCCGCCGAGGCGGCACTGCCGGCGCCCGCTCCTGCCGCTGCACCGCCATTGGCCGCCCCACCGTTGGCCGTGCCGCCGCCGCCGCCGGTGCCGCTGCCCAGATTGGGGGTGTTCGTTGACAGCAGATCCTCCTGAACCGGTGACTCGGCCTGGGAGCTGTCGCTCAGGCTGCGCGGCCCGTTCTGGCTGGAGTGGACATTGTAATCGTTGCTGGCATTGGTGTGATAGCGCGGCACCAGAATCGAGTTGCCGCCAGCTCCGCCGCTGCCAGCCACCCCAGCGCCAGTGCCGCCGGTGCCAGCACTGCCGGCACTCGCTCCGTTCACGGTCGAGGAGATGGACGTTTGGCCGGTGGCGCCCAGCAGGCTGTGGTGCGTCATCTGGCCACTGGTGGAGCCCACGAGGCTGCTCAGATGCTGGTCCAGATCACTGGCCGTCGAATCGGGCAGCACTAAAAAGGGAAATCAAAATAAGGCAAAAAACAAAAGGAACATTAATCATACGCGGATGATAAAAAACAATTCAGCGCCAGAGATCAGCCGAGGAGTTCAATCAAAAATCATAAAATGCAACTTACTTGGCACACAGTCGCGATTGGTGGCGCCCCCAAAGTCCTGGTTGTTGCTCTGATCATTCGAGGAGCAGGTGAATCCCAGTGCCGGATTGTTGAACTGCGCCGATGTGGGTGTGGTGCAGGAGGACAGCCCGCTGCTGGCCAAGTACGGCGAGTAGGCGGACGCCGCTGATCCATAGCCCCAGTGCGTGTTGCTGGCACCTAAACCAAATTGGGACACATCTTTGTTGTTGGTATTCATTGAACATTTATTTGATTGAAGGAAAAGAAAGCGACAGAGGCGGCTGATGAATAACAATAATAATGAATGCCAAGCGAAATTAATATGTTGCAAATAAGTTACGAAAAATCAAGAAAAAAGCGAAATAAATACTTCTATTAGAAACCAAATCGATGTGGCCAACAATTAACATTTGCGAAAAAAAAACACCGCTGACGCCATCTATCCAAAATGTAACGCTCATGTGGGTCGCTAATTGGAGGTCTTTCCCGGCAACCATCATGCCCCTTGGCCCCCGGCCCACGTTGCTCATTATGCGGGACCTTTTACCACCGATTTTGCCATTTTGTAGAGTTACGAGAAAAATGTACAAGCAAATCAATTGAATGGTCCAGGGCCAGTCCCCCCCTGTTTCCTGTCCCTCGCCAGCACTCTAACCCCACGGCAAACGTTCAGCAATTCGGGAGGATTTTCTATATACATATTTACTCGTATATATGTATGCATAGAGGACACCGCACAGAACAGAACAGAACCGAACCGAACAGAACACTGTGGGGCCAGTGGGGGCTCAAACAGAAGCCAAAAGAGACAGCCTACGAGGGAGATAGAGCGAGAGAGAGATGGGTCTATTGGGCTACGGGGAGAGTCAACATTTTGCGGGTCTCCGGGACCCATGCACAGATAATTAGGCTTAATTAATAGCCCATTCGGAAATTATTAATTAGTTTTTATAGGCGACGGGCGCATCTTCGTAGCCGGATATTGATTTTGTGGTGGCTTTATTAATGCTATTGGCTTAAATGTTTCTACCTCCATTAATTACGTGGCTTTTTGTGCACAATTTTTGCTGTTGCTGTGTTGCTTTTACTGTTGTTGTGGGATGTGGGCAGCGAGCGCTTCACCGTAAATGTATCTCTCTCTCTCTCTCTCTCTCCCTCTGTGTGTATCTGTGTGTGCTGGCTTGTAGCTGTATCTATGCGAGTGGCGGTGCTCTGTGTGCCTGTGTCTGTGAGCAGTCCGGCCGCTTGTTTGTTGTCACACTGATTGACTTTATTTGAGCATATTTTTTGGCCGTCTGAATTATTAACAAAAAATGGCAATAGGCTCGCGGTGGAATTTTGGTATAAAAGTAGCCCCTTTTTGTTTGTCAGTTAGAGAGGAAAAGATATTTGTTAGAGAACGTACCAATGATAAAAGATATAAGTGTATGCTTTCCATTTAATAAATAAAACTGTTAGAGCCACTTAGAGTGGGTATATTTTAAATCAACATTTTTTATACACAAGCAAAAAGAGGTATCCAATTTTGGAGATCTTATCCCTCTGTCATGGAGCTTGTTTCTTACATCAGTCTTCACTGCAATGCAACCATTTCCTTCCCATAAATGCCTATAAATATGCACCAGCTCAAGAGCTTCCCCTTAGTTGCTGTAGCTTAATTTGTGCAACCCTTTAATCATTTTAAGCCCAGGCGGCACAATTTGTCGTTTTGGAATTCATGCAATTTGCAGCACTTCTTTTTTTTTGCGAAATTAATAAAATATATGCCAGTAATTAAGTCAAGCAGCGACTGTCAATAAAATTTGTTAATAAATAATTCAGAATATTTTGCTTTTTGCATATTTACAATTAATTTATGGGTAATCAGTTTCAACAGACGCTTTCAGTAATCATTATTTACTTGTGTTGTTATCCACACATTTGCATGTGCAGGCATATATACAGTGTTGCATATACATATGTATTTATGTGCATATCACATTATGTAATGGCTTCTGTAGGTAGTATCTGTGTGCGTGTGTGTGCGTGGCTTGCCTTTTGCCTCGGCCAAATTTCAGAGTCCTATAAATCGCGCAATTTGCATTTTGATTTGTCCACTGGGCTAGACGGTAAAATATTGACAGAGCCTGGGCTTGGAGGTGGGTGGTGGGTGGGGGCGGAGATGATTGAATCGGCGTGGACTGTTATAGGGGGGAAGGGGGGTGGTATGAGCTGTGGCAGGCAAGCTCAGATTGGCAGGCAATTTGCGCATTGATTGAGTTGCACTTTATATTTATGTGTAATTTTTATTTATTTTACTTGGTTCTTTTTTATTTATTTTTTTTTGTTGCTGCATTCACCGGAATGGTTTTGGTCAGCAGCGGTAATGAAAGATAAGTGGTCACAAGTAGTGTTGGTAAATTTGACAGAAAACCAATTAAGGTGTGATAAAAGTGTAATGAGAGCGGGATTCGGAGTTGAAAGGGAGCAGCAGATAAGAGCTACAGGAACATTTTGGTAAATTTCAAAGCTTTAAAAAAGCATTGGAAATGTCTACAAAATAGATTTGATGTTAATTTTTATTAAATACTTACTTCTAGTGATTTACAAAGCCAAAGAAACTTTGCCACAACAATTATTGCCACAAGAACTAATAAGAGAAAGTTCTTATCCTTTCATATTATCCTCATATTTTCTCTAGCATATTCGTATCTATATGAAATTTCTGCCATTGCCGCAAAATATTTTGCTTCGGTAATATTCACTGCATATGCGAAATTTCTCAATTAATTTTTCTCCCCCCCTTTTTTTGTCTGTTTGATTTTAGTGAATTTTTTAAACACTTTGTCTATGGCTTTTTTATACTTTAATATCATTAATGTGTTAATTTTATTATTTTCCCCTTTTTTTTTTTAATAGCATCAAACTCTAAAGAGGAAATCATTTTTGTCGTTTCTGATGGTTTGTTGTCGTTGCTGTTGTTGTTGCTGTGCCCGGAGCAAATAGTTTGCCTCGCAGGTGGGTGGGTAGATAGACAATGTCTAGTACGGTTTTTGTTGCTGTTGTTGTAATGCAATTAATTGTCAATTTAAATTGAAACATCAAATTTAATATAAATGCATTTTAAAATGTACAATTAAATTTATTTCACCTACGCACCATAAACAACAGCAACGGCAACGAAAAAAAAAACCAAAGAACGTGTCGCCCACAATATTAATTATTGATTTTATTTGAAATACTCTATCAATAGGGCAGAAAGACTTCTGAAAATATTGAAAGATATGAAACAGCGGAGTACTAAGTAAATATGTGGTAGCAGTAGCTGGCATATTTTCGTTCCTTTACGTTTTATTCCAACACAAAAATGTACTACGACTATAATCCCATTTGTCAGGGTATCTAAAGCTCCGTCTGGTTGCAGCTACTTTCGTTCATTCAAGGCTTAGGGATTGTCCTGTCAGAATGTTTTAATTTCGCCTGGATAAATGCATTTAAATATATTTGACTGCTGCATAAAAAATGTTTTGTAGTTTTTTTTTTTCCATTGAAATCATAATTTGTATGCGAAACTCTGATTTACGCACACACAGACCTACACACAAATAGACACAGACACAGACTGTTTTTTTTAGGCTTTGACTTTTTTCCATACGCTCTAGTCCCCCCCACTCTCCGCGCAGAGTATTTTCCACTCCGCCACCACTGTCAGTGTGTGTTTGGCTGTCTGTCGCAGTGTGTGATTGTGTGTTGACCAACGTTTATTTGTTTGTATAGTAAACTTTTGGTTAAATAAAGTGGCCAACAGTTTAACAACAGCTCATACACACCGACACACTGACACACCCACTTATCCGGCATGAAAAAATCCTTTATGGCAAGGTGACCCACAATTTTACCACATTCAAATGGTTGCCCAGCGGCAACAACAGTACCGACAACAAAAACAACAACAACAAAAACAGCAACAACAACAAAAGCAACAATATGAAAAAGTCTTTCTCTCGTTTTTTTTTTTTTGTTGGTTTGTCCTTTTTAATTTGTTATGTTATTTTTACTCATTAACACATGAGTCACACTTGTGCGCCTGTGTGTGTGTGTGTGCCTGTGTGTGTGTGTGTGTGGGTGGAATTTTTTAGCAAACATTTATTGGCTACTTTTTGTGGCCATTTACTGAACTCTCATTGATGGAGTGATGTGCAAAAAAAAAAAACAAGCTTCGAATTTTCTTGCAGGCCTAAGAGAATATTTCCCTTATATCAAATTACAGCATCGAATATTTCTTTGGATTTGTGAAAACAAAGCAAAATTCATGCATGAAATTTTGCTTTATTTTTGTTTTGTATTTGTACTTAAGTTCAAGAAATTGCAGACATTCTTCAGCAGCTATGATGGGAGAACCATTTTTGGCCGGCACCACATTTTTCATCATCCTCAACAAATTGTGATAAAATTTTCGTGCATTAAATCTGTTTAGTAGAAAATAAATTGCTTAAAATGTATGAAGCATTTTTGGGTTGTTTATTTTGTTGGCCTGCAATGCGAATGGCTTGGCTGCCTAATCGGTTTTTTGTGTGATTTTGTGTGGTTGCATTTGTGGGTGCACCACATATCCAAAAACCGAACCACCCCACACAACCACTTCGGCAGCCCCTCATCTCATACAAATTTAACTTTTACTTTTGTTGTTATGCGGTTTACCGATTGAAGAGCAGCCCGGCCAAACAAAATAACAAAACAAAAACAAAAAAAAAAAACAAACTTACACAAATCATATTGGCAAAAATTGAAGAAAAACCATAACCATAGAATGTTGAGTTATGTGTGGAGAGAGATTGTGGTGGCAATACTTACTCTGACAGTTGCCAATGGGCGGCATACGGAAGCCGGATAGGGGATCCGTTGAGAAGTGGAATGGTCGCTGGCCGAACGCAAAGTGGAACTGCTGTTGTTGTCCTAAAAGGGATAGCACTAAGTTTTTTTCAGTTTTAATTATCTGTCCTTAACTAAATGGTTTTATTGCACTTGTCAGTGTCTCTGTGTTTGTGTGCGTGGGCTTGTGTCATTCTGTTTTAAGTGTAGTTGTGAGAGAAAACTTAAGTGTCAAGCACTTGATGAATGGAAAACTGTAGCGTTTGATTCACTTAAGATGTAGCAAAGGTTATGGCATGGCTCCTCCTAGACTTCAATCCTGCCTACAAACTTCATGACCTTCTGCTAGTTGCCCCCATCAAACCCACCTTTTTGCTGCCTTTTTGCTAAACTATTGACAAAGGGATCTGTCTCTCTCTCTCTCTGTGTTTGAAAGCGAAATGACAATGGCCCCCCAAAAAACTTTGCCCCAGCAAAGTAGTTGCCCGGAGACATTTTCCACTAAAACTCTTCGGTCCGTTTGGTCTATGTATTTCTGGTCCCCTTCTATCCCTGAAACAGTTGCAGTTATCTGCCAGATTGTATTCATTATAAAATAATAACCTTTTGTCTGATGTTGTCTGCTGAAGAGGCAGCTTAAAAACCCCCAACAAGCCATGTGCATGTGTCCCTGTCTGGGTATCTGTGTGAATACCGCAGAAAACGGTATTAGACCCCCGTCTCTGCCCACTTTCTTTTGCAGTATAACCCGTCTGGCTCTGGGGCCATATAAATCATTTCATGGATCTGAAATTTGTTGCTCTACTCGTATTCGTATTCGTTTTCGGACCGAAACCAGATTACACAGACCAGCTAAACTTTTGTCCTCTGTCTGAGCCGAGCCGAGCCGAGCAACAGCAACAGCAACAGCAACAGCAGCGCGTTGGATGGGCCCCAAAAACATATGCAAAGTAAAATATTTGCATCCTTATAAATATGTATGGGTAGAATGGGCAGATGCCCATCCATGTATATGCATGTATATAACCATAGAGGGAGAGCAGGAGCTAGAAGGGGGGGGGGGGGGGAGTGTGATAGAGCTGTCTAATGAATATTCCTTAAAGAAAATGGCAATTTGCTGAGAGATGTGAAGTAAGTGCAAAGTAAGGTATTAGCAGCAAAACTTTATCTGCAACAGCGCAAGGGAAAGGCGAGCCAGGGAAAGGTGCGGTGCAGTTGGAAAAGTGAGTAAGTGATAGCAGCCAAGAAATACGATAATTTGCAACAATGCTTCAGCGTCAGAGATGTGCGAACGAGCGAATTGGTTCAAGTTGGGAGTTTCCCATTGGGAAATGTTGCCGAGAAACTGCTAAAGTAGCGCTGCAAAGATGCCACGAAAAGTGGTTGGATATGCCTACAATTTGGTGGATATCTGAGCAACAATATTGCATGGGCAGCTACACAACTATCTTTAATTTCAATAGGAAATTCTCAGGAGATGCCAAGATGTCTGTGCACACATTTCGATGTGCCATCTCTGACCGAGCTACACTTTAATGAAATCTCTATCCATATGCGGGAGCTAAGACCTCAACTTGAGCCCCCAATTACTCCCAGTCAGTACTCTAAGCTTGTGTCTCGGCATCTGTGTCTGTATCTGTGCTCCTGACTAAAAGTGTGTCTCTCTCTATCTCTGTCTCTGTTTTGTGTTGCCTGCTGCCTGCTGCAAGGACAATTTATCTATTTGGCAACTAATAAATTGTTATGCATTGTCCTGCAAATGAAATACTGTTATCTGCCTCAGAGCACAGGAGAAGAGTCGGGCGCAAGAGTAGGAGAAGGCGAGGGAGGAGCCTTGCCAGAACACTTGCCGAGCTCTTTGCATACTTACTTGTCTTGGAGCGGGGCTCGCGTGGCCCGTCGACAGTCACTTTGATGGCCTTGTTGTAGGTGGCTATATGCGGTGGATTCGTTGACACGGTGATGGTAAGCGTGAAGCTTTTCCCTGCAATAAATAAACAGCAACAAAATTGATAAGAAAAGAAAACAATGGCAAACAAATTTATGAGTTCTCTTCATGGTGGCTAATGTGCGTCTGACATGCAAATCAATAAAGTTTTGCTGTGTTTCTATTTTTGTTGTTGGGGGTATTGTCACATCGTAAAAATGTTGCCCATAAAACTGTTTTGTGTGTTGGCTGATTGTACATAAAGAGAGTTCCAAACGCAAGGGTAGAGAGAGAGCGTGGAAACTATATAAATTATTCTAATCCGAGTTTGTACAATTTGGCACATAAATTCGGTATTTTTCGTATTGGAAAACGAATTAAAAAAAGCAAGAAGGGCCCCAGAAATTAATTTTGACTCTGAAATTATAGTCTCTGATGGGAATTTAAATGTAAGTATGGTGTAATGGTGTAAGTACAGAATTTACCAATGCGAAAATCTTCAAATTATATCGACATTTGAAAGAGCTCAGATCACATTTAATATTCCAAAACTCGAAATGCGTTTATCTAGATTAATTTAGCAAAGTGTTCTGGAAAGTTTCTCTCCACTTTTTGTTTAATGAAATCTTTTTGATGACGAGTAAATCCTGATCGCAGAACCGACTCTAACAACCCAGCCCGGCACACAAGTCCCTCCATCGACGAACTGCAGTCAAGCTGGGGCGCGACTGAGTCGAGGCCAGTGCTTTGCTCCTGCCAGAGGATGCGTATACGTTATTTGTGAGCTTTAACCAATTTCGTCTCTTGTGGCGTACCCTACCTTAAATTAATGGACTTTGCTGTTGCTTGAAATTCGAATTTAATTCAGTTAAATGGCAAATGCATGCAAACATTAAAAATGAAGAGCACCAAACTTGTTTTCCAACGTTCATTAAATGGTCAAAGAAATTATACAGAAATTTATTATTATTTTATGGCCGTTGAATCCAAGCTTACGAGTATTTTCTCCCCGTTCAAGGGGAGTACAGTATGTATGTACAGTATACCCCACACCTGTGACACGCACTGTAACCCCCCCAAAAAACTCCTTGCCTTTACTTGCGATGCCCACTCACACTCTCCTCATAGCTAAAATAAAGAATTAATTACAATTTAAACTGATTTTAGTCTGTCGCCAAACAAGCCCCCCTCCACATACTCCACATACGAGCACGAGTGTGGGTGGCTACGTTCGTATGTTCTGCAAACAAGTTTCCCTCTTTTGCCAAGATTTATTTCATTTGTGCCGCAGTTTTCTTTTAATTAACTTGCTTGCCTTCACATCTCTAGCACCCACTTTTTTTGTTTTTGTTGTTGTTGTTGTTGTTGTTGTCACGCCTTTTGTGTCATTGTCAAGTGTTGCCAGGCCCACGCGTAGAAGTCTTTTGCCACTTCTTTGTCGCCCCCTTGCCAGATTCCGGGATTCAATTAAAAGCATTTGGGACTGCTTGAGATGCTGCTGCCACTGCCACTGCCACTGCTTCCATTTCCTGTCTTCGTCTATGACAACGCGGAGTGGAGCAATCGCCGTGGTGGGGGCGGCAAAATCACAGTATCTGTGGGGAGTGGGGTTTGCTTTTTAAGTCGACAAACAAAGCGTAAATCATTTCGACACATACAAATAAACCGTCGACGCCCACACACACACACACATATGTACAGACAGACAGACAGACAGGGACAGTGGCAATGGGCTTACACATGTTCCCTGGCACACTCCACTGGGCCCGCCCCAAGACATTGTCTGCCACGGTGGATGTCTTGGGTGGGTCCTGGGCATAAAAAATGAACTTGTTGTCTCTTTTTGGGTGTCTCGAGGGGCGCCAAGATGGGTGGGTGGTGAAATGAGAAAACACTTTTGTGTTTATTGCCATCAAGTGCAGTTCATTGTTGCGCCATTCTTTGCCACTTTCGATGGGATTTTCTCTTTTTTAGCGGCTTGGCTGGCACTGATATAATCGATCATTTAAGAGAGTTTCTTGCGGCAGAGCAAGGGAAATAATTTTTTTTGTTTTTCGAACGGAAGTACAAGTATTTTTAATTAGATTTTGGATTTTATAGCAAAACGTTCCAAATGTATTTATTTGTAAACAATTTCAAGCTGTCATTTTGTAACATTCTTTTTTCCAGAAAAAAGCTGAAGATGTTTGCTATATCACATGAAAAATTGCAATTGCCATAAGCCAGCATACTGTGGAATATTTTTGGCATTGAAAGGGAACTTATTCGTACGTGGATTAATTTTCCTGATACTCGTATCGTTGTGTGTGGTTTGTGCAGCATAAGTTCCCATTATAATGTATATGTACATAGGCATAAATATTTCACTTAACGAAGCCTTTGACCCCTGACCCAATTTCAACCATGCCTAATCCTGCGACCTGTACCAGCGCCAAAAACACATTCATCTTAATCCCGATACCCCGATACCCCGACTCCCCGACCACTGACTCCACCCAGCGCTGCTGCTGCAGGGACACGACTCCGACAAATAGAAACATCAACACTTGAGGAGCAAAGCACTTCCTGCGTTGCGTTGCTGCGACATTTAAAATCAAATCCCGTTGACAAATAACTTGAAATCCCTGCTTGGCAAATCCTTGGCAATTTGCCGAGGCACAGGCGTCATAAATCAATTTGGGGGGGTAATGAAAGCACACACACAGGGGCATGGGGATGCTGACAGGAGAGATATGTGTAAGGGGTAGAGGTAGGCTCTGCCATAAGACAAGGACATACAAACACGCACACATCTGTCAATACTTGTGGCCGTGTCACAAATCACCAAGACACCAAACAACAAAAACAACAACAACGAACCCCAAAAGACATAACCCCCCCGCCCAACCTGCTTCCATTGCTGCTGATAGCTGCCGTTAGCTGCTGCTGCTGCTGCTGCTGCTGCTCTAACCCCCGCCCCGCACATAATCGGTGTCGGGCCTACAATATTCAATTTACGGATTATTTGCAATTAAAATTTTTGCTCCATATTTTCCCCAAAAACCAAAAGATTTGCACAAATATTTGTTCGGCTTGGCAAAGGGAAACCAACTACCAACATTTGAGTGTTCAAATATGCCTACATTGCCCTGGTTATGGGCAGCAAACAATGCCATTTACATGCCTTATATATTCAAGCATCCCCATGGCAAGTAGCGGGTATCTTTTAGTCGAAATGCCCCAAACAGGAGTCTCTTATCGTTTCGTTTCGTTTCGTTTCGCTTCACTTGAACCCAAACACTAAGCCCTTAAAAGCTTGCTAAGTCAGCCAACAAGTCGATTCAACACAAAAAGAAAACCATTTTGCGGCTTCTTTGGCTTTCATCTTTTTTTGTTTTTCTTTTGGTTTTTACTCTGTGTTTTTTTATTTTTTATTATTTGTTTGCCTGTTGATTTTTTGTTTGTGTTTACCTGCAGTAAAGGTGTTCAGATGATTGATTTGTCTGCTGTCTGCTAAGTGAAAGAGGTGCCACAAAGTTGAGTATTTTTGGAGCAGTTTAGGTGCAGATTGTTCAGGAAAAGGAGCACTCTGGCATGACCTCAAGGATTTTTTCTTCTATCGAAATTATTCTCTGTTCTCCATTTTATTTATTGGCTCACCCGAAAAGACTCTCTTTGCCGTGGGAATAATTTTAAATTATCTCACAACGCAATCCAGTCCCTTACAAGCCTTTTGTGTGCCCATCAACCCATCATAACTCTAAATTGCACCATTGTCTGCCTGTTGCTTTTCCTGCCCAGGCAAGCCCCAGGAAAATGCTCACTCCCCGCAAGCCTACCCGCCCGAATCTGCCTCACACAATTACCAACTTTTAGCACGAGCACAAAATGCTGAGCAAAACAAAAACAAAAAAAATGAAAAAGAAAAAGAAATCGAGGCAAGAAGGCAGCACAGAAAAAGGAAAGCCAACGGCAAATTGTGCACAATTTGCCATGACTCTCCCCCCTCCGCCATATCCACTCTCCGCCACTGGCTCCCTTGGCTGAGTTAAGACAGGCGTGTCCTTTTCACAGGCTAAGGTGTCAGTGGCTGGCAAAAGTTTCCTTTTTTTTCGTTTGTCTCGCCCCCGCAGCTGCTTTGTCGTGCTGTCGGCCCTCTTTCTTTGCCTTTTTAACGCCTCGACTTTTGCTAGGCATTTATCTTTGGGTGGGTTGTTGGCATTGGAATTGGAATTGGAATTGGGTCTCCCACAGTGTCTTTTGTCCCCATGTTCGGGTAGCAAATCTGTTTGTCTTAGGGAGGAGTCGTGTCGATGGGCATGGGCATGGGCATGAGCATGGCAGGACGGAGTGCTTCTGGAGTTCTCAGAGTTCTTGGCTCAGTTCATTTTGCGGCTGTTTTGGGGCCGTCTTAAATGGCTTAAGAATTGTGTAAATAAAAACCTCAAACGAAGGCACAGCGCTGGCTGGGTGGGGTGGGGGCTTTTTTGGAGGGGGGTTGTTTAACTTCTGCCCTCGATTAGGCGGAAATGTTTTTTCATTGGATTTTCGCTTTAGTTTTGCTCAGCAATTTATTGACGCACAAGGCAGAGGTGGATCGGTGGGTCGGTGGGTCGTAACAGGCGGCAACTGGCACCGACACGTAGCTACCCCTAAATACACCCTATCCATATCCCCTAACCAGCAATCAAATTCACCAACATCATCGTCACTGTGGTGGTGTGGGTGTGGGTGTGGGTGCGGGTGTGGGTGTGGATGTGCGTGCATGTGCATGGCACTTTGCTAATTAAAAGTGTAGCCTAACGCAGTGCGCTGAGCCCCCCCCCAAATAAATCGATGGCCGGGTAATTAAATTGCATGACAGACCCAGTCCCCCGCCCGTGTACACCCGCAGCCATCAGCCGCCGCGCCGGTCTAGCTAATGTACTGTTGCACTATGCATTTGTTATTGTAATTAGACAGAAGCACAACAGCAGCAGCAACAGCAACAGCAGCAGCAACAGCAGCAGCAGCAGCAACAGAACAAACAAAATGGCGTCGCGTAAATCACTCAAACGCCTAATGGCTTCAGAGCTCTGCAGAGCAGAGCTGAAGATTCGATTGAAATTATGCCCTGCAAGAGTGAGGCAGGAAAGTACGAAAAGATTGATGCAAGATGATGAATATACGGTCGGACTCAAGTCCTGCTCCTGCGTTGTGCCTAAATGAATGGGAAATTCACAATTGAAGCGCCTCAAATGCGGAAACTGGACCACGCACGCTGTGAATAACGGACAGTGTGAAGATGGCAAGCGGCAAATGAAATGACAAAATGGTGCAGTGGTGCCGAAACGCAAGGCACAAAGTAGGAGAGAGAGAGAGAGAGAGAGAGAGAGAGGGCAAACTGATGGACAAAAGCGCACAGAGAGAAGAGGAGTGACTGACAGACGTGGACACATATCCATTTGGCATTGGCCCGAATGATGACAATGAATGAATCGCAGACATACCCTGCGCACCACCAAAACCGCTTGACCACCCCCCCGCACTGGAACGCCTTTCTGTCTCCACGCTGACATCCTCTCTGGTTGAGGCTTTGGTTTTTGCGGTTCTACCGCAGCGGATGCGTAAGCCATCACCCCACCCCCATTGCACAGCATTTCTTGGCCAACGAAATTGGTGCTAGCCTTCAGACTCATCTGCGGATCTGACACCCATTGCGGAGGCTGTGCATTTGCTTGCTTTGCTGATTGTTTAAGTGATTAATGGAAACCACAAAGGGGCATGCAAAAAGGGGCAAAATATATGGAAAAAAGATGGGAGCAAAGAATTTCTTAAGAATTTAACGAGCAGAAATATTCTGAAAGAGTACCACCAGCCAGGGATTGTTGAGCTAAAGTTAACACTCAGTGAGTGCCACTCAAATTCCATATTCAGTTACAGTTGGTCATCATCTATCTCCTCACTCCATTCGCTACATTTCCAGTTCTCAGTTCAGTTCATTTCAGTTCCGTACCGTTCTGACAGTTTATTAAACACTTTAAGACAAAGCAACAAAACAGACAAAACAACAAAAAAAGAATAAGGTGGCAAGGGGCAACAAAAATAAAATGGAGCAAAGGAATCCGCTTGTATTCTATGAATGGAAGCGATGGCGACCACTGATGAACTGCTGACAATTTGTGCAGCGCTTAACAAGCGGTTAAAAGGATACAAAAGGCTGTCGAGCACAAAAACCAACAACTGACAACAGAAAGCACGAACAAAAAAATAAAAAAATAAAACAAAAAACAGAAAACGACGAAGAAAATGAACCGAAAAAAAGATGACAGCAATGCAAAAAGTGCCCGGAATAATACAAAAGAGACGAGCACACAGCAGGGGTCGGGTGGGGGGCAGTGGGCCACAGAGGAACAGGAACTGAAGCAGCAGCAACAGCAGGAGCCTGGCAAAACTTTTGCCACTCGGCGAACTCGACGCGACTCTGGCGATAATTGAACAAATTGTTTCGAGTGCAGTCAAGGGTTTGGGTTTGGGTTTGGGTTGGGTTGGGTTGGGTTGGGCTGTGGCATGGACAGGGTAGCGTGGTCCTCAAGTGCTGACAAGGGCCAATAAGAGGCGCCACTTGGCGAAAAAACTTTTTCGTCCTTGCGTAAAGTGCAGAGATTAACTGTAGATGGGCAAGCAATACCAGGGACATACCTCAGAGATTAATGTAGCTAGAGGGGAGAAGCTGCAACGATCCTAGCCCTAAGTGCTTACAGGGATTAGATATGCTCGAGAGAATTTTGATGTATTATTTTTAGAGCACTGAGAACTAAAAATGGAGGCGGGATTATGGACAGTGCATAGAACTTATAGATATAAAGAAACCGCTAAAAGAGAGAAGCAGGAAAAATGTGAAGAAAATTTGTTCTCCCACCCTTTAACTTCAGTTACAGCCTTTGTAAGGTATTTTCCAAACCAAATTAGAATGAGGCTGAACCGGCTGAATATTTTATAAAATTCTACATAAATCATAAGCTCACAAGTTTATATACTGACTGAGTTGGGAATATAAAAGTAGAGTCGCGTCCAAAGAAGCGACTCACACGTTCCTTCTCGTTATAATTTGAGGCATAGCATTCCGTACGTGTTCAGGCATTCTCTTCTATTTTTGGACTGCTTTGAAATTATTGTAATTTTAGCTTTTAAATTTTGTGTGCTTTGAAAATTGCTGCGATGTTGAGGAATCTTCTGAAACTGCCTGCCGCAGCTGCCCGGAGAGGTCTGCTGCTCTGTCGGGAGGTCGTCAATTGTACAACACGTAAGTGGAACTTGCAGATTTGATGCCACAACTCTCCGAAGATAGGCCAGATGCAAAGTCCTTTATCTACAAGAAACTTGGTTCTTATTTTTAGCACCGCTACTGCAGCGTAGCTACAAATGCCCGTTGGAGGCGGTATACCCCAAGGACCCGGCCAACAAGATCATCTACTACCGCTACCCAACTCCTCTTCGAAAGTCAATCATACGACTCATGCAGGAAGCGAATGAAATGGAGAAACGCCGCCAAATGGCCGCCAAATGCGAAGAAAAGTCACAGAAGATCCATAAAGAGACCGAAGGCGTGGCAAGGCATTTTCATCTATTTTTGGACTGCTTTGAAATTATTGTAATTTTAGCTTTCAAATTTATGTGCTTCGAAAATTGCTGCGATGTTAAGGAATCTTCTGAATCTGCCTGCTGCTGCTGCAGCTGCCCGGAGAGGTCTGCTGCTCTGTCGGGAGGTCTTCAATTGTACAACACGTAAGTGCAACGTGCAGATTTGATGCCATATGCAGTCTGCACTCCGAAATCCAATTCCTTTATCTACAAGAAACTTGGTATTTATTTTTAGCACCGCTACTGCAGCGCAGCTACGCTAACAAATGTCCGTTGGAGGCTGTATTACCGGCGGACCCGGCCAATAAGGTCATATACTACCGCTACCCAACTCCTCCGCAAAAGTCAGTCATACGACTCATGCAGGAAGCGAATGAAATGGAGAAACGCCGCCAAATGGCCGCCAAATGCAAAGAAAAGTCACAGCCGATCCATAAGGATACCGAATGCGTGGCAACGACACCGCATCCAAAAGACGTTCAATGCTATGCAAAGGACATTGGTGGTTCCTGCGAGGAAGCAAAGGCCAAAGTGGTTGTAAAAAGCGAGCTACCGACATTGGGAAATATGGTGCTACGACGCAGGTCATGGCACCTGGTTAAAAACCCAAGCGAAAAGGGGCCATTGGAGCCAAGCCGGGAAGATGACTCTAGCAAATATATCGTGACAGCATTTCAAAAGATTAAGTTTGTGCCCAACGTGCCCTTTCGTAAGCCCGAGAGGAGCGACTGCCGCATTAAATACGAGAAGGTGTCGGCCACAGTGCGAATGTATCGTCGTGGAAATTAATCACAGTAACTCCCATCGTGCGGCGGCTGAAGGCAGCAGATTGTATTTGTAACCATTTGTTAGCATCAATTTTATATATTTTAAAACATTTTTAATCCCCACTCGTTTCTGTTAATTGTTACGCTTCAATATTTGTGGCTGTTGGGAGGGGGATGTTGTGATGATTGCCACGTACAGATCACACCTGAAATTTGAGGTCTCTTAGTACTAACCTCTGCCACTCCTGCCCACAAATCGGAGATCATTGAACTTGGCCACCTGATTCTTCATCACCGCCGTACAGTTGCGCAGCTCGGCGCAGTAGTTCTCATCGTTGCCGGCACGCACCGTGACCATGGTGCCGTCCATAATGTCGCCCAGCGACACCACCTTGAAGGCCACCGGCAGTGTCTTGTTGGAGCGCCAGTGCGGCGGCAGGACGGTGCAGACGAAGAGCGGACTGCTTGTGCGGATCAGCTCGCCGGGATGTTCGGTGAGGAAGTCTCCGAGTGTGCGCTCGGCCAGTATGTCCGAGGTCATTTTGGTGTATGCCTCGTTCAATAGTTGGGCGGGTGTGGGTGGTGTGTTTTGCTCCGTGTTGTTGTTGTTGTTGTTGGTGTTGTTGGAGCCATTGGTATTACTCGTGTTGTTGTTGTTCGCTGTTGAGCTGTTATTGCTGTTGTTTGTTGTTGTATTGTTGTTGTTGTTGTTTGTTGTTGAATTGTTGTTGTTGTTGTTGTTGGCATTGGATGCCGTCGAATTGCTGGTGGTTGTTGTTAGATGCATTTTGTAGTTGTTGTTGGTGTTACTGTTGTTGTAATGATTGTTGTTGGTGTTGTTGAAGTGATTGTTGGTGTTGGTGTAGTGTTGGTGTAACTGCTGCTGCTGCTGCTGTTGCAAGTGGTGATGTTGCTGCTGCTGCGGCTGTTCTGGATGTGGATGTGGATGTTGCTGCTGCTGCTCAAACTGCTCCAGTTGCCCCTGAGCGTGAGCCTGCACTTTTTTTAATCGCACAATTTTGTCTTCTGTTAATCGCACCGTTGGTTGGAATCAAAAACAAACTGCCCTTTCGAGTGCGTGCCAAGTGCTGAAAGCATATGCAAAAAGAGTTCAATCATTAGTGTTGAGTTGGACAGCGAACTAAAAAAAAAGATTATAAATCCCAGAGAAATGAAAGAGAATCTTTCAGACAAAAAGGTTGAGTAAAAGTCAAGTTAGATTTCATTCAATATAGTTCCCTCGATCCATGCTCTGAGATTTGTGTGTGTGTGGGGGGTGGGGGTCTCCAAGTTGATTAGGTCATCAATCTACCAATGCGCCATCCATCCCGGAGCAACTTCAATTTCAACTTGTCGCATGCCATAAAATTTGCGTGCCCAGGCCACCCCACATTAATGTCTTTAAATCACAGTGCCCAAAATGGCATATTACATGGTCTCTCGCCAAACCAGAGCCCAAACTGCAGCTCAATGCAGGGCCAGGGGCATGCCCAGGGCACGGGCGACCATAAACACAAATCAATTGTCAACCACTCGACGGGGACGGCTTCAGACGGCTCTCGGTTTAAGAGCAGGACCAGAGTGACGACGAGGATGAGGCACTTGCAATGGGATCAGAGGTGTGTGTGTGTGTGTGTGTGTGGGGGCTGCGGGGGGACACAGGGCGAGCGCAGCGGAACGCAATTTGCGTTGCACTTTTCAATTTCCTGCAAAGGACTTCATTGCTCTCCTCAGTGCACATGCATACATATGTCTCTGTCTATGTGTGTGTGTCTGAAAATGTCCTGGCATGCAACACTATCCAAACGAAACGCAAATCTAGTCGACATCCGCGTGCGTGCGATGCGGGTTGCATGTGCCTCTCATGTGTGGATCGGTTTGTGTCTGTGTGTGTGTGTGTGGCATGTGGCATGTGGGCAGTGGCACGCAGTAGCGTACCCCGGACATGGGACACGTCACCGTAACCAGTGTCAAAATGATTGTGGACTCACGGGTGAGAATTTGTGGTTTGATACTTGCATATTTTGTCACTTGTCGACATTCGTCCAGCTCGTCCAGCTCGTCCAGCAAGTGCAAAGGAGAAAGGCAAATGAATGCCCAAAAAAAGGGGACAGATAGTCAGCAGGTGCAGGTACAAGTGGAGTCAAAGAAGCAGCTGTATATGCAGACAGAACTTCAGAGAACTGAAGGTGAAGCTGGCTACAAAAATGTTGATGGATCGCTGGAGATCCGAAGTGCAAGAAGATTGAGCTGATCTTCATATAATTCTTCCCACTTAATCACTTAAAATGTAGCTAACTGTGCCCTCCTCGATGAGGGCTCTACCCGGCTCAATCTCAATCTCCATCTGCCATATCTTCACCCGGTCGCCCACTCATTGTCCATTCGCGCGTACCCGCAGGTTTTTTTCCCCCCACTCAGCTCAGTGAGCGGCACGGGCACTGCCGTGGGGGAGGTGGCAGGGCCCCCACATTGCTGACCGATAAAAATTACTTAAAAATGCCACAGCTCATGGGTTGACTTTTGGCCAACGGCGTTGCCCAACGAAAAAGAGAAAGAACAAAATAAAAAACCAAACAAAAAAAAAATGGCAAACGGCAATGAAAAGCTGTGAAAAAACAAGCAGCAGAACACCAAATAACCGTGCCTGTCACACACACAAAAGAGCTGGAAGGGAGTAGGAGAATGGAACAAGCAGAAACAACAAGAAGGAACAATGGCCAACAGAGGAAATCGCGGCAAAAGTCCAACGGAAGCCAAACGTGTCGCCGCGAATCCAGACAACACACATCCCCCGACAGGGTGAGAGAGGCCGTCGGGGAGGAGCAGCGTGTAAAAGCAGAAGGAAATGCTCGAGGAGAGAGGCAGATAGAGATATGCTAATGGGTATGGGGAGCGTGGTGCGGTGCGGTGTCGGCCCAGTCGCCAACGTCATTTGCCTTTCATTTCGTTTGCCCTGCCTTTTATTGTAAATTTACTTTATAAAGGTTATTACCGAGCGCCCAAATAAGCGACAAGTCGGGGGGGGCCAGACTGGACTGGACTGGCCTGGACTGGCCTGGACTGGCCTGGACTGCTCTGGCACTGGAGCCCACGGATGCCCCGGCTGTGGGCTGTGGGTGCAGCCACAAGAGTTTGCTGGATCCCCTTCAGTGGGTACTTTGATCGTTGATCGATGGCAAAGTCTGCATGATTTTGGTAGCATTTTTGCTGCAGTTGAACTGTAAGAAAAGCGCCTTAAAAGTAAACCCATCTAAGGCCAACAGAATGCCCAACAATTGGGCGCTCGATGAGCAGCTGCAGGTCATTCAACAGCTGGCAAGGCCCGCCTGAACTGTCCACAGTCCAGTCCATCTATAGAGACAATAAAAGAGAATGCTAGAGGAGCGCAAAAAAATCAGCGGCAAGTGCTCGACAAACGCGCCATAATCCGCGCTTGCCGTCACCAGAAGAGTTGCCTGCCACTGCCACTGCCAATGCCACCAGCAGCACACCACGAACCTGAAGCAACGAGTCACGCGCGGTTTGTCACCTCATTGTTGTTGTTGCCCCATGGCCCACCATGTGACTGGCAGACTCATTTTTTGTTGTTGTTGTTTGTTAGGTTCCCGAAACCTGAACAGAGTCTGAGAGAATGGCAGCTGGGAGGTGGGGGGGGGGGACGGAGCTGGGAATGGGTGGCTAAATCAAAATTCATGGTTTCTGTTAAAACGAGCAACCGGGAGGGGGCTGGAGGGCTGGGGCGTTACGGTATCGATAGACAAGGACCATCCGTGGAGGCGATGGCTATGGGTTACACGCAAGTTTAACCCTTTGATGACCTCTCTCTCTCTCTCTCTCCCGCCCCCCCTCGCCATCGAGCAGTCCTGGCCGGGAAACTCCTGACCCGATCTGATCCAGCCAGCACACATGTACAACATGTAAATTGTTTCAATTTGCGGCATTTGCCGTAAAGCTGCGCAATTTTCGACATGCCACACACACACACACACACACACACCCCTGAAGAGCCACCCTCTGTGTGAGAGCAGTATCTGTGTGATAGGGGGTGGTGGGGTGGGGGAATCCTTTTTTTTCGCAGCCATAGTTCGGTATGTCCAGCTGTTGGGCTCCCATCGAATCCTTTTCGAGTATGAGAGTGGCAAAAAATGCTCAAAACCCAAATACTAAACTTGTTAAATGTTATGGCTATATGTACCACACATACATATATTTCTATATATATATATATCTATATATGTGTGGCTGTATGTGGGTGTCGGTGTCCTCTAAAACGTGGCTACTGGACGCTGCTGCTGCTGCTGCTGCTGCTGCTGCTGCGTTGCCACTGCTGTTGCCTGCTACTTTGATGTAGTTAAATTTTAATTGGACTTTGGGTTTTTGTTCCCCGTCTGTGGTATTTCAACGGCCAGCAACAGCAACAACTATGTCAAGTATGCGCACGGGTTTGTGCACTTACATATATGCGGCACTGTGTGCGCTGCCCATATTAAGTTAACCAATTTCACAGCAAAAAAAAAAAAGAGAGAAGGGAGTCCAGTACACCGAAAAGGCAGTCGCTGGTGCTGCCCACTGAATGGGCTCTAGGAACTGTTGAAGAATCTCATCAAGATTTTATTGGACAATGCAAATTTGGAGCAGATTAATGGGTCATATAGCAAATATGCCCAAAAATGAGCTGCCGCCAGTCAGCTGTTCGCGGTGTTTCAGTGTTGGCACGCAACGTTTTATTTTGCTGTGGAATTTTCGCTTTGTGACGTGCGATAAGAAAACAGATTTTTTTATTGCTTTTAAATGCTAGAAGAAATATTTCTCACTTAATGCAAGCCAAATAAGAAATTTTCGGCTATTTATCGACACTATTTACAGCATTTTAGCCTATCGGCCCGATACTCGATGCGCCTGGCAAGCTCTTCGAGGCGGTCAAGACGGCGGCATTGGCCAGGCCACAGCTGATCTTAGCGAGCGGGTCGCTGGCAGCATTAGAGATGTTCTGCTCAATTGTACGGCCTGCCATCGTCGACCTGCAGCTGCATCCATAAGGCATTTGCGGGCACGGAAGTGGCACAAAGGCCATTGCGTAAATGGCATGCAAATGGTGGGGCGTACGTTGACTCGCGGTGAGTATTTCCATGAAATTGGGTGACATTTGTGGCAATTAAGGCGGTGGATTTCTTAAACCTACAGGCATCGTTCATCTTGTGGAGGGAAATCACAGACGCGCTGAGCAGAACAACCTGGAAGCCAACCACCTCGAACTCCATATAAATTCAATGTGTTTTCATTGATAATTAAAAAATTAATAGGCATGTGTATTTGGTGCTGCTTGCACCGAAAGAGTTCCCCAAAGATTCCCCAACATATCCATCCCAACCCTCAACTTAACTCCTCAGTGCTCGAAAGTTCTACTTTAGCCGGAACTATTACTGTGCATTTGCTCGGCCTTATCCATTACCCAAACCAATCAATTTACGAGTGTTTCTGTCGCATCGGACAACGACATGGCCCAGCAGCAACAGCAGCAACAGTAAAGCCCAAAATTAACAACATTTGCTAACTAACAACAAATTAAGTCATACATTGTTGATAAGTGCTCAAGTGGGGACCACAGAAACCACCCGGAAAGAACCAGAAACAGAAACAGAAATAGAACCAGAAGGAGAGGACTACTGCCAGTGTGGCAGTGTGGCAGAGTGCCGTGTACGTGCAGTGGCAAGTGGCAAGTGGCAAGTGGGAGTCAAGTAACAGGAGTCCGACAACGTTCGCTTTAATGCCTAAATCAACTAAATTTGCGGGCAGCAAACTTATTTCCGGCATGCCGAGAACATTTACCA